CAGGGAGGGGTGGGCGAACGGAAGGAGGGAGGGCCTTGGGCGGGGGGCCGCTGGAGCAGAGCTTAGAAACACAAGTGAGGACTCGAGGGGGAATGTGAGGGGGCTGTGTAGGGGCACGGGGCAGGGAACCTGGGACGTGGGCCAGATAAGAAAGGCAGGGACCTTGCATGACTCACGGACAGTTTGGACCCCAAATGTGGCAGAAGGATCACTGCAAGAGAATGACCCACCTATCCGAACAGAGGGATGACAGAAGAGATACGTTAAGGCCCCAACCCTCAGTACCTGGGAATGTGACCTTATTTGGAAATAGTGTCTTTATGGGTGCAATTAAAGATCTCAAAGTGAGGTCAACCTAGGTTTAGGGTGGGCCCTAAATCCAGTGCCTTGATGTGAAAGAGGAAGGACAGGGAGATTTGAGACGCAGAGAAGGCCACACGGAGTTGTAGGCGCAGATTGGAGTGATGCAGCCACAAACCAAGGAATCTCCCCTAGAGCCTCTGGAGGGAGTGTGGCTTTAACTTTGGACTTCTGGCCTCCAGAACTGTGAGAGAATAAATTCCTGTTGTTTTAAGCCACCCTGTTTAGGGGGATTTGTTACAGCAGCCACAGGAGGTTAACACAGGTGGGACTCATCTGTCCAGCACAAGGGACGTGTGACAAGCAGGGAAGGCTAGTGGGGACTGTGTTGGCAGCGTGATTTCCCCACTGAAGACCTCTGAGACCTAGAAGTTTCTCCTAGACGTGGCAGCAGGACTGGCCAGAGAATTCAGCCCCCTGCCCCTTGCCACTGGCCGGGGAGGACATGCTAAATGCCAGAACACGGGTCCCCAGAGAGCCTGAGTGAAGCGGTTTTAGGCAACAGAAAGCAGTCCCTTCGTATACTGTGGGTAGTAACTGTATGCACACACCACCCTGGGGAGGAGATCATGCTAGAATACAAACCGGTTCACTCGGGGCTTCACTGACTTGGCTGGCAGTGGCTCCATGACAAGCTGTTAAGGGGACTGAAGGATGCTGCTGATGAGAGTGTGGCACGATGACTGTCCCCAATCCCTCCCTCCCCACCGGCCCTAAATGACAAGTGGGACTCGTGCCACAAGGATTAGGGCTGCTCTCCCTGAGCGGCTCCTGGACTCCATCTCCGGCTTGAATTTAAAGAGCGGAATTCAATGAGATAAGCCCGAGTTTTGTTCCGAGAGGAGTTTATGATGGATCGAGGAGTCTCAGAGGCTGCTGGCAGAGGGCGAGGCCTGGAGTATGTCTGGGAGTCAAGGGGAACGTATCCTGGAACGGGGGTAGGAATGGGGAGGTGTGGGGCTCGCGTTGCTCTCAGAGCCTCCTCCTTCTGGGGCCTGGGCACACGTGCCAGGGGAAGAGAGTGGAAATCTACATGAGGCAGGGAGCGGAAAAGAGGCCGTGGGGACAATTATTTGACCCCAGGCCTCGGTGCCCAGAATGTTCCGGTCTTTTCTCTCTGCCGATTGCAGCTCTGTTTGGTGGTGGCTTTTTCCTCTACCAGGGGTGGGATGTTTTCCAGCCTCCAGTGGAGCCGCAGTGCCACACTCTCCTCCTGGCCATGCCCCCCTTCTCCCCGAGCCCTGAGCCTCCCTTCTTGCTTCTAGTTTGTTCTGTGTGGGAATACCCTTACGGAGGGCTGCCTCAGTTTCTCTTTCTGTAAAATGGGGAAAGTTACTCCAGGACGCTAGCTTTGTGCAGAACTTGAGCAGCACAGGGGCCCCCAGCCGTGGCTCCGCCCTTTCCTTGTCTGCGGCTGTAGCTCCTTGCTGAGCTGTTTTGTTCCTCTTCATCGGGGAGCACACCCAGGCCGACTCTGTGTGGGTGTGCGCGCGTGTGTGCACATGTACACACTCTCACATCGGTGAGCTCAGCATGCCAAGCACACCCCATCTACCGGCGCCCTTTGCAAGGTCGCCATCCCGCCCTCTTGCAACACGCCCTTATCAAGCTTTCGGAGCAAACAAGCCACCGCGAGTGGTTCTGGGCCGTGTCCGACCCACACTTTCTCTTGCTCCCCCGGCCCTCAGCCCACGTGTACTGAAGCCCCCGCAAGACCTCCACGCTGCCTAATTTCTTACGGCTGTTCCTTCCAGAACACTTGCTGGAAGGGTCTGGAAGGACCTGGCCCAGCCCCTTGTGTTTTAGATGAGGACACCGTGGCTGAAAGGGGACATGGCTGTCCAAGGTCACACAGCCAGTGCCTGGCAGAGCGGGGCCAGGGCCTGGACCAGTCACGTAGGTTCTTAGGCAGGGTGTGTGTTGATGTCCCTTCAAACAGGCTTTTAAAGATATCTGTCCCACACTTTTTAGTGGGATTGGGTTTGGCACCTGAGAAGAGTTCAAGGGGGAGTTCCTACCAGCCCCTGTCTATTTCAGTGGGGGTGGGGACCAAGGTTACTGAAGAAGCTGGGTGTGGAAGCCCCAGTTCTGGGCACCATGTTACTTGTTGCATCGCTGTTTTTGTGTCCCAGCGTGTGTGCCCACGCCACCTGCCCCTTACTGCAGCCTGGTGGCTCTGGAGCTCCTCGGCCCTCCCCCACCTCTCCGCTGCTCTGTCCCTTAAGCCCTGGCGTCTTGCTTAGTGCCAGGATGCTGCGTGCTGCAGTATGTGTCCCGATGACCCTGTGCTCCCTCAGTGCCTCCTTCCTGGTCCCTGTCACTTGGCTTGCCTCCCCTTCTTCCTCCTCCTCTCCCAACTCTCTTCTCTCCAGGGCCCTTCCGACACCTCCTGCCTCTCGGAGCTCTAGAAGCATCTGGCACTTTTTCTTCCCACATGTGTCTCTCAAGCTCATTCCTCGGGCCTATCCATTCCCGGAGTGATGACAGCTGCACCTGCATCTAAGTCCCGGCTGTGTTTCCTGCCCCCCGCCCCACGCCTACCCTCATGCGGAGCGCGAGAGGTGCCCCTGCACTTTTACTCACTTTGTCTGACTACCTGAAAGTTTCCTGAAACTTCCACCTGAAAGTGAAATGAGTGAAAGACCCTCATTTCTTTGGCTTAAACACAACGGCCCCTGGGAGTGGCCACACAGGAGGCCATCGCCAGTGCTGCTGTCTCGAAGAGTAGAAAGGGCTTCATAGGTGACAAGGGGGCATCTACGTTCCAGTGTGAGCTCAGATCCAGCAGCTAGCGAGTGAGGGAAGGTGTCTGAGGAAGGTGTAGCAAGTGCAGATCGTCTAGGACAGGGTGGGGAGACGTCTTCTATAAAATGCCCCATAGTACATAAGCTGTAGATAGTAAAAGACTGTCTATAATAGTCTTTGTGGACTATACGGTCTCTGTTGCAACGACTCAATTCTGCAGTTGTAGCGCAAAAGCAGCCATAGGCATGTGATGTCTGATGTTTGTGTACCCCAAATTCAAACGTCAAATTCCTAACCTCAGAATGTGACAGTATGTGGAGACAGGGCCTTGAGTGAGGGGATTAGGCTAAATGAGCTCGCTAGAGCGGGCCCTGAGCCAATGTGACTGGTGTCCTCGTAAGAAGAGTTCATGAGGACTCCGACATGCACAGAGAGAAGACCACAGGAAGACATAGGAAGAAGGCATCCGTCTGCAAGCCACGGAGGGAGCCCTCACAAGGAACCAACTCTGCAGACACCGCAATTGAGGACTTCCAGCATCTGGAACTATAAAAGAACCTCTCTAACCAATTAAAAAATGCAAACACCATTCTTAGCTTGTGGTCAGTGACGAATGGGTGGGTGAGCTGCATTTGGTCTGTGGGCTGCTGCCTGCCATGCTCCCTGGCCCGGGATGTAGGATGGGGCAGGTGGGGTGAGCTGAGGCTGGAGGCTAGGCCAGGTCCACCTTGGGCAGAGCCTTGAGGGTTTCTTGAGCTTTAAATGTCCCAGTGAATGAGGGAGCCATGGGACATTTTAGAGCTGGGAAGTGCTGTGATTAAAACTGGATTTTCAGGGCGTCACTCATTCTCGTTGATATAGAAGAATGTAGGTGCTTAGTACCTGTGCTTTCTTGCTGAAGCCAAGAGATGCCAGTGCAGTTGATGTTGTTGTGCTCTTGTAGATTTCTCTCTTCTTTCTCCCCTGTTGGAGTATTTTGCAATTGCGTAGAGAGAACCTTGTCTTCTGGAATTGTCATTGTTCTTAAGCTGCCTTCCCCTGTAGAGTCTCCTGGCACAGGACTGTAGCCACCTCTTCTCTAAATGTCTAGCAATTCGACTTCCTAAAGTCTTGGACACGTGTCTCTCTGCTGTCCTCTTTCCGGGCTGCCCTGAGCTCTAAGATAACATGCTCACTTTCTTCTAAGATCTTGTCTCTTCCGTCCACGCTTTCTGTCATTTCCAGTTTCTAGTAATTTCTTGTTGGTGGATGTGAATTAATCCTGAGAAGCCTGTTGCCATTGTTACCTCCTAAACCTTCCAGGGATGAAACTGGGAGCAAGGTAAGTCACCGGGTTTTGAAATGCTCTGTTTTTAACAGAGCGGGATTCATGTGTGTTTGAATCACTGCTGATGTGTCTCGATTTGGTGCTGGGTTTGTGATCTGTGTGAGGAAAGCATCATTTTGTTCTGATGTCTCAAAAGCTGAGGAAGAGAGGAGTATCTGGGGTCCAAGGACACTCCCTGTAATCCTGAGCCTGGTACGTGGTACCAGTTGGCACCAATCTAGTCCTGAAAGGTGAGCTGGGGGAAGTAGGGATGAGGGTAACCCTCCCCACTTCACAGGGAAAAGAAAATCCAGCCCAAAGAGGGAGGGGGCGAGTCTCCAGGAACGTCAGGAAAACAAGGCAAGCTCGTCTGCTGTCGTGGTCCACAGACACCAACACCCCCTGCAGGGCCTGCACAAGTCCTGCCTGCAGGAGGACATCCAGACCCATGGCCAGCCTCTGCCACTCCAACAACTGACCCTCCACTCGCTATTTCCAAACCTTCGCACATGCTCGTCTCTCTACTTCAAGTGCCTGTCCACTTCCTCCTATCTTTCCAGGTTGGATCAGCACTGGAGGTCCTGTACAAGTCCTGGTTCCTCTGTGACACCCTTCCTAGCCACTCGGTCCCTCCTTCCTCTGACCCTGAAGCTCCTGTTGTCTGGACCCCAGGTTGGCACTAACTACATATTGTTTCCTTATATCCAGTACAGACAGCCAGCATTTCGTGAATTTCATTGTTTCCACCAGAGGATCACAGGGGAGGAGTTGTCTTATGGGTCTTTGGTGCCTGTAATATTTAGGGAGCACTGAGATGTGGAAGCCGCTCAGTGAGTCTTGCAGGGGGTCAGGAAGCAAGGGGGGAAGGAGGAGAGGAAGGAAGAAAGGAAGGAAGGAAGGAGGGAATGAAGGGAGGAGGGAAGAGAGGAAGGAGGAGAAGAAAGGAAGGAAGAGAGGAGGGAAAGAGGAAAGGAAGTCAAAGGGAAGGAAGAACAGAAGGTGGGAACGAGGGAGAGAAGAAAAGAAGTTCAGTGCTGAAAACCTGTTTGGACAGACAGAAGTACAGTCTCTAGGAAGGGAAGCGAGTGGGGAACTGGGGTGTGGAGCCTGGGGAGGGCCAGGTCCGTTCTGGCTGTGGTCGAGTGTGTGTGCAGGGGCGAGGGGAAGGCAGGAGAGGGAACTCCTCCCCCAGCTGTGCCTCTGTCCTCTTTCTCCCAGCGGTGGTGAGTGGCGCTGGGCTGTGCTGGGTGGGAGGGGGAGGGTGTTGATGCCTTTGGTGACAAGAGATAAATGAATCCATCCTGAAGAGCAGCCCCTCTTCCAGTGCTGTAGCAGCTCAGCTCTTGACTTCACTGCCTTGGGGTTTTAATTAAATGTCAAATATAATTTAGGGCTGGAGTGCTGATGGGTGTATGAACATGAAGTCCAATGTCTCCTCTTTGTGGGTCTCCCTGATACTCGACTAATTTGGGGGGGGGTTAATTGATCACTTTTTATTTGAATGCCACATGAGAAAACATCTGACTTCCCCTCATCCTTGGTTTTGAAATAATAGTTGGACAAGTAAAAAAAAACAAAAAAACAAAAAAACCCTAAACTTGCATATCTGTTATATAAAGAGAAAGAGCCAGATTGGGACCTGGGTAATTTGGGACCTACAGAAATATGTATATTTGATCTGCAGTTTTTCTTCCCACATCAAGCATGGGGGGAGGCATAGCTATTGACCCATTTTCTCTGCTCAGTGCTTGGGGGTGTTGATCGAACTGTCCCACCAACTTCCCCAGAGCATTTTGTGAGAGTGAAGAGGAGGGAGCTTAGGACAAGTCTCCTGGTGGCCAGACAGAGCCAGCCGCAGACAAAGTCCTACACTTGCATTGTGCAGATCAGGACACTGAGGCTCAGAGGGGTAAGTGACCCGGTGGAGCTCATAACTGGATCGGTGGCAGAGCCAGGAACACACCTGCGACCTTTCTGAATAGCAGTTGATTGAAGTAGCCTGGGTCCCGTGGAAATAATTAGGGTAACTTCATTTCTATTCAGTTCAAGTATTATAATAAATGGTGACTGTATCAGAGGCTGTAGGTAACACAAAATAGTACTGGACACTGTGTAAGGATGTCATCTGTGTCTTTAGGGGATTGACAGTCCTTCCTTTATACGACTAATATAATTATCTTCCAAAACACAAATATGATCATCTGACTCCTGTGTTTGAAGCTTTGTAAACCTCCCTTCTGAACTCCTTTGCATGGCAAAGTGGGCCTTTTCTGTTCTGTTCCTAACCTTCCTGGGCACCTTCTTTCCCTCCGCTGTGTAATGCACACTCCATCCTCCAGCCAAACCGAACCTCTCACAGGTCCCCAGCACGGTTTATTGCACAAATGTCCCTCTACCGGCCATCTCCCTCTTGGTTTGGTTAGGATGGTCTTGGGTCATGAGTAGATCCTAGAGCAAGTGGGCTTAGACGTATAGGACCTTGTACGTCTCCTGTGATGAGAATGCAGGCAGTGGCCAGACCTTGGCTGTTCCGGAAGGCTGTCAGAATCCTGAATTCCTTCTCCCTTTCCACTCTGCCATCCTTTGCTTGTTGGCTTTCTGTTCTCATGCTCAACACCTGATGGTCACAAGATGGCTATGGTGGCTTTAGGCATCACATTTGCATTCAAGACAGGAGGAGAGGAAAAAACGGCGGCAAATACATCTGTGCTTTTGCTCAGGAAAGCAAATGCTGTCCCAGAACCACCCTGCAGCAGAACCCCCTACTCAGTGGCCAGGGCTGGGTGACGTGCCCACTGCCGGGTGCACGAGGGCTGGAAAACCAAGACTCTGGCAAACAGGTGTAACGATCCCATGACTGGCTTAGACTAGTCCCGGAGAAGCAGCTGGGACTGAGAACAGCGCATCTAAGCCAGGTCAGCCTGGAAGAAAGGGACAGTGCAGGTCTCCACTGCATTTCCTTTCCTTCCTCTTCCCAGAGGCAACTCCTACTTGACCCGCCTGAATTTGCCCACACCCAAAAAGCCTTTTTGGATCTTCTAACTCCTCTGTACCCCTGGATACTTGGTTGCTTCCTTGGTTGCTTCATTGTAGCACTCTCAACCCAAGCTCACATTTATTTGTGTGTCTGCTTTTTTCTTCACCTGAGTTCACGGACAGCCCCTGGTGTTCTCTGCCCATTTCCCTCGGGCCTTACCCTTCCTGGGAAGTTTGCTCTGGGGGCTTCCCCTGCCACTGTTTGCACCTCTGCTCATCAAATAGCTATGCGCTCCTGTCTATTTCCCATCCGCCTTGCAGCTAGGTGGGGGCTCTATGACCAGGCCTGGCCAATGGCTGTGGGGTAGAAGGGACATATGCCACCATGGGCAGCCCTAGGCTGTCTCTTTCCCTGCCATAGTTATCCATGCATTGATCCAGCAGTCAGTGTGACATGATGCAAGCAACCTAGATTTGTCAGCTCCTGCCTAGGGGACAGCTACCTGGACAGTTGCCAGACCCAGAGTGGACTTACATGAGTGAGAAATAAACCTAGGTTAAATCATAGAGATTTTGACTTTTTGTTGGTTATCTCAGAATGATCTAGCCTAACCTGTGCTATCCATTCACCAACACCTATTTTTGAACTCTAGCTATTTGGTTGTAGGTGCTGGGGAGACAGGAGAGCAGAGAAGCCCAGTCCCTGTCACTCCTGCCAAGTGGTGGCCAGTTCTGATGGTGTTTTACCAGCTCAAGCTTTCTCTCCTAGGTGTGAGTGGCGCCAGCCCAGCTCCAACCCCTCACCCACCTCTCTTCCCCGCTCTCTCATTCCTGGTATCCTTGGCGGAGGTTAGGCAGATTATAGGTTCATGGTACCATTGGCACTAATAACCAATGTTTTCCCGAAGGCTTTGACTGCATCTCACAGTAAGAAATGTACTTTACAGTTCATCAGTATGCAACACAGATACATGTGCATGTGCATGCTGTGATCAATATTTATCACTGGCGATGTCTTCTGATATTTTGTATTCTGTTTTGTTAAAGAATGCTCATTGTGATCCACTGAATTGATTTCTATGACCCTTTAATAATACACAACCTGCGGTTTGGGAGAAAAAAGACTTTAGCGAGCTAGAACATGCAGGTAAACACTGTGGGCCAGGGATGGTCTAGGAGGGCTCCCAGGGCAAAAGGACCCTTGATCAGGGTGGTGGAGGCTGGGTAGGAGCTGGATCAGTAAAGAAAAGTCATCCCAGGAGAGAGGACCTGGAGGATAGGCGTAGATGTCTGAGGGATGGTGACCCCCCTCTCTGCAGGAGAACAGGCGCCCAGAGGGTAACAGAAAATACGGAAACAGGCAGAGGTGATGTTTAACACAGCTAATACCTGGAACAGCTCTAGCGCCTGGAACAGCGTGAGCTCAGGCCAATCAGAGAGCGCACCGACAGTGACCCTCCAGAGCAAGGGTATTGGCGTGAGGATGACCACCATTCTGGAAAAGGACTAGGCAAAGAGAGGAGTTACGGCGTGAATGGGGTGGAGCAGGGTTGGCTACCAGAAATCCCTATAAAATGGAAAAACAGCTCTGCAGTATGCTCTTTGCAAAAGCACAGCCTTTTCATCTCTGCAGATGATTACAAACTCCTCAAGATTCCAAACATCTCAGCAAAGGGCAAGGGTGGGCCACAAATAGGACCCACTGTGTGTGCCAGGGTGCAGACAGACAGATTGCCTGGCTAGCTGTCTATGGTCAGAGTCACTGGAGAGGGATATGGGGACCTGGCTTTGGGTCCAACTCCACGAATTTCCTTGCGCTCGAGTTTCAGCATCTAATAAAGGAAGTATAATAATATCTACCCCCCCTGACCTCAGAATTATATGTGAGCTTATGATGAGGAGCAGTGAGAAATCACTTTGAAAGGAAAAGGTGTTTTGCAGGCAGAAGCACCACCCTGGGGTGGCTCAGGGAGTACTTTCCTCCCAACTTGCCCGAGAAGAGAAATTTTTGTTTAAATAACACAAATGTAATAGAACTGTCCAAGGTACATGATTTCGGCAATGAAATTTGTGGAACCTAACTCATCGTTCTCTTAGTTTTATAACAGTGTAAAAATAATACATTTTTCATCAAGATAGAAATAAAAACAATAATAAAAATCTAACATTTATTGTGTGCTGATTATACGCCAGGAACTATACTTAGTACTTTGCATCTCATTTAATTCTCACAAACATCCTCTGCGGTATATACCATTATCATCCTCATTTTGCAAAGAAAAACGATGAGAAAGTTGGTATAATTCAACTGGCAATGACATGCCAATTGTTCCACCTCATGGGAGAGAGCCACCATTGCAGAGTCTAAGCACACAGGGCTCCTCCTCCCTGCAAATGTTTTAGCCCTAAATCCACAAATGCAAGGCATTCTCTACCCCATTCCCAAGCTGTGTAGGGCTGGGTCTTCCCCAGAAACATGGCCACTTTCTTCTCTCACCCCTGATTTGTTTCTGCCAAAGCCTCTTACCTTTTCCAAGAACTTAGGTGGGAGTGCAGTGCATGGAGCTAGTTCTCCAAGAGCACAATAGTTCCATTACTTTCTCCAAAAATCTGATCAATCCTCCTGTTAACTCAGGAGGGGGTTGGACAGTGCAGGGAATGGGGTACACAGCCATCTGGACACTACATTGGGGGTC